GCTATCGAAGCATCCTGGGCCTCCATAACACCTCAGCAGTGCCACAGGCTGATTGCCTCCATGCCACGCCGCATTGAAGCAGTCATTCATGCAAAAGGATTCCCGACCAAGTATTGAGTGCATAACTGAACATGATTATTTGAAGGTTGGCGTTTTTGTATTAAAAACACTTGTCTTTCATTGGTGGGATGAAATATGCTATTTTTTTTAGGACAGACATTTTGGGTTTTCATGAGCTGTATGCCATAATCATCAGTATTAAAACAATTAAAGACCTTAAATATTTCAGTTGTTGTGCACTGAATCTGAAATATATGGAAGTTTCATTTTTATCATTACATTATGGAAAATAATGACCTTTATCACAATGTGCTAATTTTTTTAGAAGGACCTGTATATGTATTTCTATGTATATTTATATATATGTGTGTCTATGTATATATAGGCATATATGTATGTTTATGTATATATATATGGGGGAGTGGTGTTGCAGAGGTTAGAGAGGTGGGCCTGTGATCGGCCTGTAAGGGAGAGCCCAGACACCCTGTGGAGAAAACTCATTTTGGCCGCTTGTATCCGAGATCTTGTTGTTTTGGTCACAACCCAAAGCTCATGACCATAGATGAGGGTAGGAACGTAGATCGATCAGTAAAATGAGAGCTTCGCCTTTTGACTCAGCTCTCTCTTCACCACAACAGACACTTCACTGCAGACGCTGCACCTATCTGCCTATCGATCTCACATTCCATTTTTCCCTCATTCGTGAACAAGACCCCAAGATACTTGGACTCCTCCACTTGGGGCAGGACCTCCTCCCTGACCTGGAAAGGGCACTCTACCCTTTTCCGGCTCAAGACCATGGCCTTGGATTTGGAGGAACTGATCTTCATCCCGGCTGCTTCGCACTCGGCTGCGAACCGCTCTAGCGAAAGCTGTAAATCACGATCTGATGAAGCCAATAGGACCACATAATCTGCAAAAAGCAGGGACGCAATCCTAAGGCCGCCAAAACGGATCCCCTCAACACCTTGGCTGTGCATAGAAATTCTGTCCATAAAAGTTATGAACAGAATCGGTGACAAAGAGCAACATTGGCGGAGTCCAACTCTCACCGGGAACAAGCCCGACTTATTGCCGGCAATGAGGACCAGGCTCTGACACCGGTCATACAGGGACCTAACAGCCCATATCAAAGGGCCCGGTACCCCATACTCCCAGAGTACCCCCCACAGGGTTCCCCGAGGGAGGCGGTCGAATGCCTTCTCCAAGTCCACAAAGCACATGTAGACAAACTAGTTGGGCAAACTCCCACGCACCCTCCAGGATCCTGCTGAGAGTGTAGAGCTGGTCCAGTGTTCCACGACCAGGACAAAACCGCACTGCTCCTCCTGAATCCGAGGTTCGACTATCCGATGGACCCTCGTCTCCAGGACCCCCGAATAGACCTTACCAGGGAGGCTTAAGAGCGTGATCCCCCTGTAGTTGGAACACACTCTACGATCACCTTTATTGAATAGGGGGACCACAACCCCGGTCTCCCAATCCAAGGGATCTTCCCCCGATGTAAACGCAATATTGCAGAGTCGTGTAAGCCAACACAACCCTACAACATCCAGAGCCTTAGACATACATACTAGATCTCTACAAAGCTAATTGAACAAAGCATTCTAAAGAGACTAATCAGAGCTTTATCACATTCATACACCAATGGGACACACATCGGAGGCAACGAGGGGTTCAGTGTCTTGCCCAGGAACACTTCGGCATGTGACTGCTGGTGGATTCGAACCCCCAACTCTTGCATTGGAGGACAACTGCTCTAACCACTCAGCCACAGCCGCCCGACTTGGCTTATTAGCTTTAACAGTGTCAGGAACGGTGTGTTTATGGTCTGAACCCAGTGTGCAGGCTGGACTCAGAGGAGTAAAATAATAAGACTCTTTAATGAGCACAAAACAAAAATGTTGACAAGGCGGCGTTACTTACAAAATGTAGGAAATTTCGCGAGGACCAGATTAAGACACAGGAATCACAGACGATGACCTGACAAAGAGTAACACAAAAACGTGAACTTATATACACAGAGTAATTAGACACAATCACAAACACCTGGACAGGACACGTAGACATAAATGATCAGGACAGGAAAACTAGAAGGTGTATGGATGGGAACCAAATACAAGAGGGTGCCATCCCTACAGTACCCACCCCCCCACCACCACCACTACCACCACCACCCCCAAAGAACTAGGGTGGGCGGAGGGGGGAACTGCAAGGATGGCGGGCACGAGGAAACACAATGACAAGAAACCAAAAACCCACAGGACGAGGCCTGGGAACTAAACACAAAAACTAAACGCAAGGAAACAAACAGTTCAGGTGGGGGGGGCATCAACTTGCTGGAACAGATCGGGCGGGCGACCAGGAGGCCATCCAACATGGGGCAGGAGCTCCGGAGGGCGACTAGGAGGCCGTCTAGCATTACGAGCCAGTTCAGGGGGACGACCGGGAGGCCGTCAAATATCAAATAGCAAGTCCAGTGGTTGGCTCACACCTGAGAGTCCATGCTCATCCAGCACACGGAGGGGGAAGTGGGGGAACCCATGGTTCAGCAACTGGCATGGTGACCCAGGAGGCTGCTGTTGACCTGAAGTTCTGGAAAACCTTTGCTGTAGGAGTGTCCTGGAGAGCTACAGCTGTAGTGGCACCCTGGGGAACAGCAGCTTATGTGGAGACCTGGAGAGCCACAGCAGTCAGCATGGGGATTTGTAAGGCTGCAGCAGGTGACGAGGAGACCTGTGACGCTGCAGCTGCAGTCTGGAATGCTGCTGCTGTCATGGGGGTCCGTGGAGCTGCAGCAGGTGACACTGGAGGCTGTGGAGCTGCAGCAGGCAACACTGGAGGCTGTGGAGCTGCAACAGGTGACACTGGAGGCTGTGGAGCTGCAGCAGACGACACTGGAGGCTGTGGAGCTGCAGCAGTCATGGAAACCTCTGTGGTCGTGGAGGCCTCTGTTGTCATTGGGACCTCTATGGATGTGGAGGTCTCTGTAGTGAGGGAAGCCTCTGTGGATGTGGAGGTCTCTGTTGTCGTTGGGACCTCTGTGGATGTGGAGGTCTCTGTAGTCGTTGGAACCTCTGTGGATGTGGAGGTCTCTGTAGTGGTGACACCTCTGTGGCTGTGGAGGCTTCTCTGGTCATGGATGCTGGGTTCTCTGCTGCAGACTCTGAGTTCTCTGCTGCAGACTCTGAGTTCTCTGCCACAGACTCTGAGTTCTCTGCCGCAGACTCTAGGTCCTCTGCCGCAGACTCCGTGTTCTCTGCCACAGACTCTGTGTTCTCTGCCACAGACTCTGTCGCAGACTCTGGAACCTCCTGCAGGCTCCAGGACCCCCTGCAGGTTCTGGGACATCATGCAGGTTCTGGGTCCTCAACTACAGGCTCTGGAACCTCGGCTGTCGGCTCTGAGTTCACAGAAGGGCAAGAAGAGTTCAAGTCTGAGAGTTCAGCTATGAGAGCCCTTACCATAGACAGCACTTGGGCGAAGCTTGGGATCTGAAGCAGGTTGGATCTGGACTCCAACAGGTCCGTCATGATGGAGTAGATCTTGAATTTATATTCGGAGTCCTTGGTAAAAGTAGCTGCATGAAAAAGTCTCTGGAGCTGTTGAGACACAGCAGCAACATCATCAGGTGTCTTTTCAACAGAGCCCCCTGTGGCCGTTGGAGGATCTGCAGAGATGGGAGCTTCGACAGGCACAGGATTTTCTGCAGCCCCTGAACCTGTTTTTTCCTCTGGTGAGCTCAGTGATCTTCCCCCCTGCAAGAGCCTCCCTGGCTCTTCTGACAGCTCAGGAGGAGGGGGAAGAACTGAAGGAGGAAGGAGCTGGATCTTGGGGTTCCTCACCCTCTTTGACCGTCGACTCCTCTGACGTCGGTGGTGTGGACCAGGACCAGAACTGAGCCAGAACTCCTTCTCTGGGTTGGAGTCATCAGAGGAGGACCACAGGGAACACAACTGTGGCGGGGTGGAGAAGGAGGTTGTCTCGATGTCCAGACAACTGCCTGTGGGCTGAGTCCTCCACCTCCTCTCTTCCTCCTCAACCAGGAGTGGTCAAGGGAGGGTCTCGACTTCAAGGCTGTGGTGTCTCCGGATGGGTTCGATTCGGAACCCGCTCACTCGGATGACAGCTGCATGCTCCTGGGTCTGATTCGCCCCCTCTCTCCATCGGGCAGTTCGGTCAATCCAAGTCTTTTGGCTGCTGGGTTATTTTGAGGGTCGGGTCATACTGTCAGGAACTGTGTATTTATGGTCTGAACCCAGTGTGCAGACAGGACTCGGAGGTGCGAGGAGTAAAATAATAAACTCTTTAATGAGCACAAAAAAAATGCTGATGAGGCAACGTTACTTACAAATCGTAGGAAATTTTGTGAGGACCAGACTAAGACACAGGAATCACAGACGATGACCCGACAAAGAGTAACACAAAAAACGTGAACTTATATACACAGAGTAATCAGACACAATCACAAACACATGGACAGGACACGTAGACATAAATGATCAGGACAGGGAAACTTGAAGGTGTAGGGATGGGAACCAAACACAAGAGGGTGCCATCCCTACAAACAGCACACTACATGCAACTTAACATCTGCGTGACTAAAATATATATTAACACGATGTTAACATCCAGACTAAACAATATAACATCATTAGGCTCTCCTTCTGTCATCTAAACCAGGAAAACAACAGCTGCTCAAAAAAAAAAAAAGATCTGTCCATGTTGGGAGAGAAAAAGACGCAGCGCCGCACTTTACACAGAATGATGAGTTAACTAGCATCAGAACAGCCACGGTGCATTCAATAACGTAGAAATCATGAAATTCAGAAAGAAAACAAACTACAAACAGAACTTTGCTCAGAAAGCAAACTAATCACATATAAACAATGTGGGCTTTCTAACAAGAATCTTATAAAAATCTTCACTAAAAAAAAATCTATTACACTTAGGGCGCCCCTAGTGGCCCGAGGGCCCTAAGCAACCACTTATGATGCTTATGCCTCAGGCAGGCCTTGCCACAGACCACCGAGTTACCACAGCTCTCTGTGTGGAGCAGAGAGCTGCTATTTAGGATGCCAAGGGGAGCAGATGGTGGGGGTTAAGGGCCTTGCTCAAGGGACCAGAGTGGGGCAAATGTGGGTGGAGGCAGGTGTGGGTGCTTCATCTTTCCCACCTACATTTTAATGTTGTCGGTACCAGGAGTTGAACCATAGATTGTCTGATCACAGACCCACCATCTCTAACCTCTGCGCCACCAGTCTCATCAGATATGATACTGATGGGTTTAAAATTCTTAACAAGTCCAGTGTACCCAGTCTCAGTAAACTAAAACTCTTTCTACATTTCACTGTAATGTTTTCTAAAGCTTGGACATTCCCGTTTGAACGGCTGTTAAAAACACTTTGCTTGAAAAAAATCAGTAAATTTTAAGAAAATAAAAATCATAAAGAGGTAATGAAAAAAAATTTTGAATTTTAATAATTGGGAGAAAAAAATACATAAATCTGTCTCTGGACCAGGAACACAATCCACCATTCAAAGATCCCTACTTTGTATGTTATAATAAAGATTTCGGAAAAAAAAAAATTTCTATTTAGCTAAATTTATGCTAAGCATGTCTCTTGTTTTGTTGTACTGTAGTCATTTTGCTAAAGCGATCTAACTTTCTCCACAGCCGAGCATTATATGTGTTCGTAAAGAGGACATCTCAGAACAGAATGCTGTCAAAGCTGAAGTAAAAACCGAAGACTGTGTGAGTACAAGTTTCCATCTTTAACCGTTCCTTTACGTTCCCATGCTGCCTGTCAATCACAGGCAGTATCAGGACGACAGCTGCAGCTTTTGGCATGCAACCTTTAGCATTTAAGACCGCAGCGAATTAAAAAGAGAAAGCTGATTCCAGCTTCCCTTCCGGTGACTTGTTTCTCCTCACTAAAAACCTTTTTATGACCCTCTGCACCTTGTGCCTAGCGGAAGTTGCAAAATCCACTTAAAGAAAGTAGATGTGTGAGCTGTAGAGAGCTTGAAATGTGGCCCAGACAAAGGCAGATCTATTCTCCAACATTCCTCAGATGCTGTAAATCTGGAGCTGCTGGTGTAGATATATGAAGGGAAGAGAGGATGTTTCTGCATGTTCTCTGGGGGCTCTTAAGATAAACATCTGTGCTCCTTTACTGTTTTTTTTATTTTATCGATTGTTTCAGTAACGTAGATTTTTAAAGAAAAAGAAAAAACAATATGTTTTTTTTTTTTTTTTACTTATATGGACATGACGGGAAAAAATACTGCCAAATATATAACACATGGTGTTTTATACCATGTCAGAATAAACTAAATGTAGCAGCAGTGTTGGAAAAGCAAAGCACATCTTATGGTTTGAAGGAAGTTCAAAACGGTAAGGAAATATGTTGCGCTGTTTTTATCTAAAGTTAATTATATTTTATTTTAAAAATCTGTTGAGGACTAAAAGAAAATTTTTTGTGCAAATTCATAAAACCTTAGAACTGGAAAATGTGTTTCTGTCTGTCACTGAGTCAAGAAGCACTTTCACAAAACATTTCTGAAATAAGGCGTTGACTTTTCACAAATCGCCCATTTGCTGGCAATGTTCTGCATAGATGTAAGAATTTAGAAACGTTGCCAGCAGAACTAAATTCTTCTTCTTCTTTCATCTTTTCCCTATTCAGGGGTCTCCACAGCGAGTCATCCTCCTACATCTCACTCTGTCCTCTGTCCCCACTCCATCTACCTCTATGTCCTCTCTAACTGCATCCATATATCTCCTCTGTCTTTTTCCTGACAGCTGCATTTCTAACATCCTGCTACCAATATACCCACTGTCCCTCCTCTGGACATGTCCAAACCACTGTGCCTCTTCTGTACATGTCCAAGCTACTGTCCCTCCTCTGGACATGTCCAAACCACTGTCCCTCCTCTGGACATGTCCAAACCACTGTCCCTCCTCTGGACATGTCTTGTAAACTTTTCCTTTGACCTTTGCTGACACCCTTTTGTCACAAATCACTCCTGAAACTTTTCTCCATCCACTCCATCCTGCTTGGACTCTCTTCTTCACTTCTTTACCACATTCCCCATTTTCCTGAACAGTGGATCCCAAGTACTTGAAGTCCTGCACCTTTATGTCCTCTGCTCCTTGTAGCCTCACTGTTCCACCACCTCCCTCTCATTTACACACGTACTCTGTCTTACTACAGCTGACTTTCAGAGTCAGAGTCAGAGTTTCTTTATTGTCATGTGGTGCACATGTGGTGGAGCGAAATTATGTACACAGGGTCCCAGTTACATCCAACAATAAAATGTAAAAGAAAAACTGTAATAACATCTAAGACATGAACTAAGAAAAACGTAAACTAAAAATACACTAAGCACTAATAGCATATAAACATTACATCGAACATCAGCATGAACATGAGTCTGTGTGAGCAGATGAGCATGAATGAACACAGCAACATGAAACAGATCAGCAGCAACATGAAACAGATCAGCAGCAACATGATATTATTTTTCACAGTGATTATTCTGGTTAGAGATTCGTGAGTCTAACAGCCTCAGGATAGAAGCTGTTCCTCAGTCTAGTGGTTCTACACTTAATGCTCCTCAACCTCCTGCCTGAGGGGAGCGGGACAAAAAAAGTGTGTGTGCTGGGTTAGTGGGGTCCTTCGTGATGCAGGTGGTTCTCTTCCTGCATCTGGAGGTGTAGATGTCTGTGATGGTGGGGAGGCTGACTTCAACATACTTCTGTGCAGCCTCCATGCCACATGTTGATGCTGGAGCACAGGATGCTCTCCACTGCACACCTGTAGAAGGAGGTGAGGACTGAGCTTCCCAGATCAGCTCGTCTCAGCCGCCTGAGGAAGTAAGAGTCTCTGATGAACTTTCTTCATCAGGCTGGTTGTGTTGTTGCTTCAGCTGAGGTTGTCATTCATGTGTACACCCAAGTACTTGTAGCTGGAGACCACTTCCACTGCAGATCCTCTTATGTTCAGGGGGGTGTAGGTGTTTTTGTTCCTTCTGAAGTCCACAATCATCTCCTTTGTCTTCTTCCCATTGATGTGAAGGTTATTCTTTTTGCACCAGCTCTCCAGGTGTTCCACCTCCTGCCTGTAGCTGGACACTTCATTGTTTGTGATGCATCCAGCCACCGCTGTATCATTCATTCATTCATTCCTCTTCTTTCAAGTGCATACCTCCATCTCTCCAATTTCTCTTCCACCTTTTCCCTGTTCTCACCACAGATCACAACGTCATCTGCAAACATCATAGTCCATGTGGATTCCTGCCTGACCTCATCTGTTAGTCAAGAAGGGGCTCAGAGTCGATCCTTGATGCAATCCCACCTCCACCTTGAAGCTATCTGTCACTCCTACAACACATCTCACCACTGTCCTGCTGTCCTCATAATGTCCTGCTGTCCTCATAATGTCCTGTACCAGTCTAACATACTTTTCTGCCACTCCAGATTTTCTCATGCAATACCACACCTCCTCCCTCAGCACACTGTCATGTGCTTTTTCTAAATCCAAAAAGCCACAATGGAGTTCTTTCTGACCCTCTCTGTACTTCTCCATCATCATCCTCAAAGCAAAGATGGCACCTGTGGTGATCTTTCTTGAGATGAAACCAAACTGCTGCTCACAAATACAGTAGTCACCTCTCGTCTAAGTCTTGCTTCCACAACTCTCTCCCAGATCTTCATCATGTGACTCATCAACTTGATTCCTCTGTAGTTGCTACAACTCTGTACATCACCCTTGTTCTTAAAAATGGACACCAGCACACTTCTTCTCCATTTTCTCCCGCTCAAATATGCTATTGAATATTTGAGTTAAAAACCTCACTGCCATACACGGTGACCCTAATGAGCCACGGACGGCAACTTTACCATTTCTTTTAGTTCTTTTCACACTTCTGTTCATACATTAGCATGTTCACATTTTGTCAGCTTACATGATCACTAATGTTCCAACTTACTATAAGAACTAAAAGAAGAAAGTTGATATCTGCTGAAATTTAGTTCAGTGGCTTCATTGACGCTCCAGGAATGTTCTAGTTGAAATAATGTCTGTGACATTAATAAGACAGGACCACCTGCAGGAGTCGTGTTGAACTAAAGCAGAAACTAGACAGTGAACACAGAAATGTGCAACGAAGCAAAGTTCTCCAGAAAACATCTTGTATCAGTGGAACAAAGGTATGAATATTTGACATAATGGCCTCTTAACATCCCTTCAAATGCATTCTTAATGCAGTTAAAACAAGTTTGCACAAATGCAAACCAACTCCTCTAGTGAAGAGAACAGGAGGAGTAAGGGAGAGATTCTTCCCAGCTAAAACAGACTGGTTTTGTCAAGCTCTTCTGTGATTCTTGCTCTTTTCCCCAAAAGATTTGGGAGACATCATCAGAGTCCAGCTGTGGGCCCACTCCCACCTAACTGAGGATTTGGGGTTTGCTCATAGTGGTCCTCTGGGGATACTGAGAGCTGTCTGGATCCCATTATTCTGTAGAATGAAGTGTTGTAAAATGTGGTGATATCATAATTCAGGGATGAGAAAAGAAGGTGCGGTCAGTAAGTTCTTGAGCTGTACTTTGTCTTCAAGCATCACATGGGTCTGTGAGGAAACGCTTAAAACACACCAGTCAACATCATTTCTCTTTGTAAGAAGGAAACAGCTCAATTTTCATGCATGCAGATGTAAGTTAACGTTTCACAAAGTGTCTGTTATTTGAACTTTGATTCTGACTTTACTGAGACAAACAAAGTGAATAGGCAAAAGGCTATTGTGCATTTTGATTCATAAAAATGTTTCCTTACAGGAAGCAACAAAGCGCATCATTCAAGAACATCCTGATATTTGGTGCAGCTCTGAAAACTGCAATCTAGAAATCTTCCAAGATGGTAAGACGGTGCTGGTGAGCAGCAATGATGGTGAGTTTCAATTATATTTGTAATAAAATATTTTGTGTTCACACCCCTTCATATATATGCATATTGTTTTGTGACCACAACTGATAACTGACTTGTTGTTGTTTGTTTGTTTATTGTATCTGCAGTTACATCAGCTACTGTGGCTGAAGTACTACAGAGTGAAAATTTAAAAGAAAGGGTAAGGGCAGCTTGATTCACATCTTTGTCTTGTCCTAAATCATGTCAATTAAAAAATACAACAATCTTTGTTTGTTGTTGCTCAGCAAAGCCATTAAGCAAACCCAAGAATTACCATAACTCAGGCCGTTACAGATGTTGAGCTAAAATGAAGTTTGTTAGTAGCTGAGACTGAATGTGTGAGACCCGTGTTTGAAAACTTCTTATAATGCTGCTTAAGATCCCAGGACATGTTAGATCCAAAAGTTCAAAGTTCAAGTTCAAAAGAAACACTCCGAATCCCGGATAGGGAACAAAACGTCTCAACTACAGAGAAGGAGTCCAGTTGTTTAGTTTCTTAACCTTTTTTTTTTTGGTTCAACACGTCCTGGATGACTTAAAATCTCCACCAGCATATTGCAGTGCAATTTGGGAGGGGCACCCCAAGAGAAGTGTGGGAGTATGAGAGGATGTCAAGGAAACCTGCAGATAACAGGAACCGTCTCGGTTTGAGTTTATGATGCAGACAATAGAGTCATCCAAAACTGAATAAAACTCAATTCTGCCATTAAAGAACAGAGAGCAGAAGAGATACTTTTGAACCGAGAAAGCCGCCAGGATGGGAAGTAAAACGTCTTCAACTACAGAATAAAAGTTGAAATGTTTTGCTTTAAAACCTTCATTTGCTAATACTGCCATTAATTTCTGGTATCCGCTCTGTCTGTTGCACACCTCATGAAGCACTAAGTAGATTTATTGAAACTTTCAGAGGTTAATCTTTGAATACACATTTAGTGTAGGTAAGATGGCCACCACAACCAGCTGATGAAGATTTCAAGGAAACTCTTAAGAAAGGAGTTATTGGCTTCACATTTTATAAAATATTAACTTTAAGATTCAAAACAATTCACAATGGCTGTCACAACTATTCAAACTTGGGACTACATAAAAACACTGTACCTCAAGAAATTTTACAAATATTCAGATTAATTTGGTGTGGTAGTAGCTGACAGTCAATCACAACACATACTCTGAGCACCAACAGTACATGCACATGAGACTACTCATAATGTAACGTTCAAAAATGCTTCAAAATAGATATAATGCTGCAGACAATATGTATTCCTTCAAGGAGTGCTTGGCCTGTAACTACTACACACAGCTATAGTTAACACACACAAACTACCCATGCCACAACACCGAGGAACAAGTTGATCATTACTCAATAACCTGTTAAGTCTGTAGCATTTCTGTTAACTTCATGCATGTACTGAAGAATATTAGCATTGTTTATTCAGTTAGATGTACTCTCTGTCCTTTTATCACAACTTTGTTTTTTTATTGTTTTTGTAGCTGGGTTTGAAGATTGAGAACCCATCATCAGGTCCATCCGTATTTGCGGGGATCCTGGTCTCCGGTCTCCTGGTTGCTGTTGGAATTGTTGTGTGGTACTTCAAATGTCAACAGAGGCCTGAAACCAAGGAAGCAAGGCTGGTAAGCAGGATTTGTTCATATATAAAAATAAATAAATAAATAAAAATAATAAATAAATAAAAAAATATATATATATACAGTATATATTTAGCATTTAGCATGCAGTCGAAGTAGAACATAATATGGCCTGTTCCCCTCCTGAGTTGTTGGTTGAAAAAAAAATCTACTCACAGCATTCAGTGCAGCATCTTCAACATTGTTGTGTAAAACTTTTGAGAAGACAAAAAAATAAAAAAAGGAATTCACCACTACCAAAGTTGAAAGGGCGTGTCCAGAACAGCTTGTCAGACTTCGAGGTGCCACCTTTGGGGCATAACTGGCCTTAAATGACATGCGTTGTTTTGGTGGGCTGAGTGTCAAACTCGGCATGTATTTGAATTAGCGTAAATATAGTGACATAAAAAAAACAGATATGGGTGTGGCAAACTGGCTCGCTTTGCCTCTGATAATGTCAGAGCCATAGTGGCCTTCAGCGACCATGATCAGGAGCTCTAGTCCGTGGAGGAGGATGTGACTTTCCCTCAGAGTGAACAGGGAAATAGAGATTTGGACCGGCAGCCGCCTCAGCTAGATTTGCATGTGGTTTGGATTGCCCTAGTGCACAAGGGCATTTTAACACAGCTTACAGTTTTAATTCTACTTTGTTCTCGAGGAATATTTCTCCTCATTCAGTTTGAACTTTAACTTGTGTTTTTGTACCATATTTTCCGCCGTACACGTCGCACCACACTTTAAGTCGCATCAGTCCATATTTGTCTAATAAAGTGGAAAAATCCATAAATATGTTGCTTCGCCATATACGTCGCATCTATTATGCGTCACTGCTGATGCGTCACGTTTGTTACTTGTCACCGCTGACAAACCGGAAATGTGGGCCAAACCCGGAAATGTGGACCAGTGTTGTGCCAAAAACCGATGAGCTGCCAAATGGCGGCCGTGGGAGAGTGCACAGGAGAACTTAACAAGAATTTAACGAGATTAACACTTAAAAACAATTATTTGTTTGCTAGAAATTATATTAAATGTGTGTCTCAGTCTAACAAACTGAGGTGTATCGCAAATCCACCCACACAGACCAGTATTTGCAGTTTGACTCCCATCACCCTTTGGAGCACAAGTTAGGAGTCATCAGGACTCTGTACCACAGAGCAGACAGCATCCCCACTAACTCAGGAGCCAGGCAGAAGGAGAACTCCCACACAAGACAGGCTCTAGAGAAATGTGGATATACTAACTGGGCCTTCCTGAAAGCAGAGAAGAAACCCAAACAGGACTCCAGTCAGCCATCAGGTGAAAAGGAGGAACCCAGACCCAGACCAGTGGTCATTCCATATGTTGCAGGAGTATCAGAGAAACTGAGACATTTATTTTCTAAACATAACGTTCCAGTGGCTTTTAAACCCCAAAATACATTACGGCAAAGACTGGTTCATCCCAAAGATCCAGTACCCCGGCACAAACAGAGTAATATTGTGTATGCTGTTCAGTGTCAGGAGGGTGATCAGTCTTACATCGGGGAAACAAAACAGCCACTGGCCAAAAGGATGGCCCAGCACAGAAGATCAACATCATCAGGCCAGGACTATGCGGTCTACACTCATCTCCAGGCCAGCGGTCACTCTTTCAGGGATGAAGATGTTCACATCCTGGACAGAGAGGAACAATGGTTTGAGAGAGGAGTAAAGGAGGCCATCTTTGTGAAAAGAAATTGTCCATCATTAAACAGGGGTGGAGGCCTCCGGGTTCAACTGTCCCCCTCTTACAATGCTGTGATTGCTAGTATCACTCAACCCCCTGTGAATAGTAAACAGCCATCAGTGTGCTAATGATCCATT